GGGAATCACATTTCGAGGCCACGACACTCTTTTCATATTCCTCCAAGATATAGCCGGTCACTTAGTGATCATGAGTGCCCTTATTGACCCTGTGACTATCAAGAAGTGGAGACTTGATATTGCTACTTTAATATGCTAACCCATTGTCATGTATGATTCGGCCGGGCTAAGGGCAAGGCTAGGAAAGCAGTTAGGTCAAAATAGAATGACAGTAGGGCTAGGGAAAGACCAACGACATCACACTCCAATTGGTACCTAGAGACATCAGCGTATTCTATGATGTTCATCAACTATACAACGACGTAAAGTTTTATCTTGGATGTTCTTTTGCAAAATGTTTTTGAAAACTCGAATAATATAATATAATATGTTTGCGTGTTAGTTTTATTATGGAAAAACATAATATATTCTCTCTGTAGAGATGTAGTTGCTCCTTAGGTTCACGATTCATTTCCCTGTAGAGTGTAAGAAGAGCAATTTCTCGCATCCCAACATGTTCCCACCCACTGCAGGACGAGTGGGAGATGTATGTTTTTGGTGGGATCAATCCCTTTGTGGGAGGGAGGATATTTTAGAATTTTTTGGGCTTTGACTAATGAGATAAGGAGATATGAGAAACGGAGAGATATTTTGGACAATCACAAAATCTAAAATATCTTGGGAGTTGTTGACTTTTAGATAAGTGACAACCCCTTCAAATGGGTGGTCACTTCCATAAAAAAAAGGTGTAAAGAGAGATGTGTTGGGGATTCTATCACGTGACACTCTCTCTCCCTCTCATAAAGTAAGTTTTCTCTCTCTAGAAAATAAGCTCCCATCACGACCATAAGATCTCTTGAGCCACCTTCATCGAACAGCTCAAGGGATATGAATTGTGTATACTCTAACTTTCGATTCTAATAATCAAAAGTCAGGCTAAGGTTGAAATATCAAACTTTCGAATCGAAGGAGCCTCGTTAAAAAAGGGTGAAAACAGAAGAAAAACAAATCGAATCAACCGCATGGGAGGAATCCAAAAAGGCATGTGATTTCTATCAGATCCAGTTTCTTTTAGTATTTCTGTTGCTTTCTGGATTCAACCTAGAATCAAAACATTAGGATGAATCTAAAAAGCAGCAGAAACATAAAAAGTAGCAAATCAGACAAAAATCACATACCTTTTTGGATTTCGATTGCGGCTGATACATTCTTTTCCTATTTTCCTTTTTATACATGTCTCCTTTGGATCGAGAGTTCAATGTTGCAACTCTAGGCAAGTTTTTTATTACTAGAATCGAAAGTTAGAGTATACAAAGTTCAAATCCCCCGAGCTGCTTGATGGAGGTGGCCCGAGAGATCTCATGTTGGTGTATGGGGACTTATTTTCTGGAGAGAGAAATTATAAGAGAAAGGGAGAAGATAGTGAGGAGAGAGAGTCAAGTGAGGAATCTCCTACATATCTCTTTACACCCCTTTTTTATAAAAGTAGTCTCCCGTTTCAAGGGGTTACTACTTATCTAAAAGTGAATAAACCCC